AGAATGCACATTCCCACCAGCTTCAACAGGGCTGCTGGGGAGGCTAGGGCAAACCTTATGGCTGCAGTGGACCATGGGAGCACATGGGGTCAGGGCAAGCCTGCTGACATCAGTGGGGCAATGGGAGAGCTTAGTATTACAAGGTTTAAGTACAATAATGGTGCTGCCATCACCAGCACTAGCAAGGTGGTGTGAGAGCACAAAAATGGCACCACCAGTACCTCTATCCCTGGAAAAAGTCCCACAGACCCCTGTGCCTCCAGCGGACACACTTTAGGATTAGCTAATGATTCTCCTTCAAGTATTGTCAGGGTGCTTTTTTAACTGCTGCTTTTACACTAGGTTCTGGAGGTTAATGAGCCTATGCACAAGCCCTTTAAAAGCAGACTTTCTCTTCCCCACAGCCTTTTGGGTCTCCTGGACATAAGCCCTGTTGGTTTTCAGAAATAGATGTTTTAGAGGCTCATCACTCCAGCATATGTCCCAAGGGTTGGGGTGCCTGATGTGGAGCATGGATCCCTCACTCCCCAGGGAGCTCATTTGTGAGATCTCACCTGACTGTGTGGATCACCACACTGGGAGTAGTTTTTCGCAAGACTGTCTCTCTCTGCCTTTCTTACCTGTCTTGGTGTGGTCCTTTTATCCTTTGTTATGGAGGAGTTGTTTAGCTAGTTTTCAAGTCTTTTTCAGAGGGAACTGATTCGTTTGTAGCTGTAGATTTGGTGTGTCCGTGAAAGGAGGCTGAGTTCAAGATCTTGCCACCATCTTGAAACTAACCCCTGGGTTTTTTCTTATGCAAATCATTACCTTAATTTTGTCAAGCAAGAGAAATTACCTGGCCAATGGCAAATGGAAGCCTCTAAGCAATTCTTCTTTTACCAAATACCCAAGGATACTATGACATGCCTTATCCCAGTCCATCTTGGAAGATGACCTCGGCCATAGCAGGAACCAAGTCTATTCTGTTCACCGTTATATCCCCACCTCCTAGCACAGTGCCTAACACATAATAGGTGTGGGTCACAGAGTTTAACAATGCTCTCCACATCTGAGGGCAACTGACTATATCCCAGCTCCTTAGCAGTAAAGCCAAAGGAATGAGAGCATAAGTGTGTATACTACATCAAGGTCTGGTCCCTAAAACACCCTGTGCAGTCTTCTACATTCTCCCCTTAATACAAGGTTGGACATAAAGGCTTCTGAATCAGTCCAGACAAGAAAATGGAAGGAACCCACATCCTGGAGACTGCAGGAAATCTGCACCAAGGGAAACTACAGAAGAGACATACAGCATAGGGGGCTGTGACATCAGCAAGAATTAGCCCTTGTATTGTTAGGCCACTGAGATTTAGGAGTCTGTCACCACAGCTGACACTTACTTTGATAATACACTGTTCAATATTTGTTAAGTGAACACCTAGATATATAAAGTTACCTCTGCCAATTAAGAATCTAGGCATCAAAAATTCAAAGATTCCTGTTACTCAGAATTGGATGCCAAATGCTAAATAATGACCTCAAACCACATAATAGACAGTAGGGAATAGATTCCAAAACATATTATAATTGTGGAGACCAATGCCAAAACTGTTGCACAGGCAGACAGTGAAATCTGGATAGGACATCCAAGCATGCCATAAAAATTAATATTCATTCATGATAAAATCTCTCATCAAACTATGAATAGAGGGAAACTTGCTGAGCCTAATAAAGGGCATCCACAAAAAAAGCAACAGCTAATATTATACTTGATGATGAAAGAAAGAATACATGAAAACTCAGTATTGTTAAGCCATCAATTTTCCTAATGTGATCTACAGATTCAATGCAATCCCAATCAAAATCTCAGGAGGGTGTTTGAAGACATGGACAAACTAATACCAAAATGTATATGCAAATAGCCTAGAATAGCCAAACAACTTTGAAAAGAACAAGATTGGAGGACTTACACCATTTTAGTTCAAGACTGATTAAAAGACTATAGTAATCAAGGCCTATAGACATGTACAGATGTATATGCACATGCCTATGGATCAATGGAAAAGAATAAAAGATTTCAGAAACAGAGCCACACATATATTGTGTGATTTTGACAAAATGCCAAGGCAATTCAATAGGGAAAGAATACTTTTTTTCAAGAAATAGTGCTGAAACTGGAAAGCTATATATTAAAAAATGAACTTGAATACTTTCCTCATACAATACAATAAAGATGAACTCAAAATGGATCACAGACCTAAAATGTAAGAAATAAAATCATAAAATCTCTAAAAAGAATGTAGGAGATAAATCTTAGCAACTTTGGGTTAGGCAAAGATTTATTAAATAGGACACAAAGGGCACAAACTTTAAAGCAAAATAATCTATAAACTTGACATCAAAATTAAAACCTTGCTCTTCAAAAGATATCATTATGAAAATGAAAAGGGTAGCCACAGACTGAGAAGAACACATTTGCAAATCATGTATCTGACAAAAAACTTGTGATAGACGAATGTAATTTAGAATTGCGATATCACTACACACCCATTAGAATGCCTAAAATTAAAACATTAACCATAACAAGCATTGATGAGGATGTGAAGTAACTGGAAACCCTCATATACTGCTAATGGGAATATAAAATGGTATAACCAGTTTCAAAAATATTTTAGCGATTTCTTAAGAAGTTAACCTTTCACCTACCCTACAACCTCATCCTTCCATTCCTAAATTTCTACCCAAGAGAAATAAAAGCCTATGTCCATACAAAGATTTGTACATGAATATTCACAGCAGTATTATTAGTAACAACCAAAACCAGAAACCAACCAAATGTCCATGAAAAGGTAAAAGATAAACTGTGTTACATGAAAACAATTAAATTCTACTCAGCAATAAAAAGGAATAACTATTAATACATGCTACATGGACAATTCTCAAAACAACTGTACCAAGTGAAAAAAGAACAAAAATGAGTACAAAGTGACTTCATTTGAATAAAATTTTAGAAAATGCAAATTAATTGATAGTGACAGAAACCAGACAGGTGATTGCCTGGGAATGGGAAACAGGGTGGAATAGAACAGGAGGGAAGATGACAAGGGGCACTAGGAAATTTGGGGGGATAATATATGTGCTCATTATCTTAATTGTGGGGATGGTTTCAAGGGTGTATTCATACTTACAGGGTCCAATATGATTTGACACACGTGCAGCTCACTGTATACCAGTACCTCAATTAAAGCGGTTTTCAAAATAATTAATGTATAGTCAGCTAGTCATACCCACTATGGTCACAAAACAGTGTAACCAAAGATTATTTTGATCAAGCATAGTTTTAGAGGACTTGTCCCATTTTTACCATTTTGTCTCAAAAATAGAGACTTCTTTAAAAACTCAAATTATTTTAAAACTAAACAAATCATTTTAAATCTAAAAGGACCTAGTATAGTGTTAGGCCTACATTAGATATGACTAGCACACACTTACAGAACTAAATAGAGATATCAGAAACTTTCATATAGTGAAATAAATTTCTAGCCTTCACTATCTCTAAGAAGTATCACTACCAAAATTCAAGATATTTTCCATTGAACTTATCTTAGTTAGAGCACTAAATTTTAAAATAAAATCTATCTTCTTACAGTACCTCATATAAAAACATGTTTGTTACTGCTAAAGCTGGCTACAATTCATCAAAACACTTAGCAAGCAAATTTTTCAGTAGCTTTACCAACCTTTTCAGTGTGATGACTAAGAAATCTAATGGTGCTAGTCAGACTCAGAAATAGGATTTTCTCCTGGATGACAAAAACTGCAGAAAATACTACTTGAGAAATGTCATACCACTATTAATACATGCTACATGGACAATTCTCAATAAAGTGTTACTCTCAAATCCTATGATTACTGATACACAGCTAACAGCTTCAAATAAAAGCAGAAAGTAGATCTCAAAAATTGGAAATGTCCAAACATACATTCTAGTAGCCTTTTAATACAAACTCTGATTGCAGCAATAGGTAAGGAATCATCATAATCCATGTTGAATAAGGTCATAGTTAGACACCCCTGGTTCAGAAAGCTGGGACTAAGTATGATCCCTTTAGGGAAATAGAAGCCTCAACAATTAATCAGAATGCTCAATCTTCATTCACCTTGTACGCCACATACACCAGTAACTATAAAGTGATACTCTATCACCTAGCATGCTTTTGGTTTCTAGTAACTGAAACTCAACTCTTCACCAGCTAAGTTATGGTGTGGTGACTTTTTGCCCTTACTGTATGTTCAATTTGTGTGGGGAGGTAGAAGGCATGAGAGGGGTCTGCTCTCATGGATCCAGGATGATGCTCTCACTTCTTGGTCCCTGGCCCCCATAAACACCTCCACTATAGGGAGGAGAGGGAACCAGAAGGGTGTGCATCTACCTGGAAGTAACCTGCTTAGAACCCACTGGCGGGAACCATCACATAGCCCTACCTGGCTGCAACTGAACTGCAAACTGTTAGAGTGACACATTTAGTAAGCAGCAAACGTCTCTGCTACACCAATCAAATCTGACTAACACAGATTGGTTCAAGAAACTGGCAGGTCCAGAGACAGGGCAGATTTCACAGTGGACCCATCTCTCCATCCTGCTCCACTCATGATAGCAAACAGCTGTCATTACAGGATTCCCACCCTATACCATGCCACTCAAAAAAGAACACTTCCATTCCAGCATTCAAGTAAGACACGTGCCAGAGGGCTGCTCCAGCTGCAAACCTAGTAGTGCTCTTCCTGACATGGTACATCACATCCGCATGTCATTACATCATCACATCACATCCTGTCATCACATCAGCACATCATGGCATGATCACATCATGCCATCACATCATTGCATCACGTCATATCATCATGTCATCCCATCATTACACCATATCATCAATTATATCATCACATCACATCGTCGCATCATCACGTCATGTCACCGTGTCACATCATCATGTCATCACATCACATATCACGTCATCATGAGACGTCATCATCACATCACGCTGGTCTGTGGCATGGACAACATTGTGCTGATTGGACCTAATAAGCTGGACCTAGCAAGTACTTTAGATGCCCCAGTAAAAGGTACGTCTCCAAGTGGGTGAAGATGAACCCCACAAATTCACGGCTCCCCATCCTCAATGAAGTTAGTAGGGTTTAATAGTTGGGAGCAGAAGTTAGCAAACTTCTGTAAAGGTTCACAGAGCAGATATATTAGGCTTCTGGGCAAGATATGATCTCTGTAACATATGCTTCTTCTTTTCCCCCAAACATATAAAAATATAAACATTCTTATTCACAAGTCATACAAAAAGAGGCAGCATTCTGGACTTGGCCCACAGCCACAGTTTATTGATAGCTGGTCTCCCTTGAGATATCCTGTAAAAGGGAAAATGTAAGTTACTCCACCCTGTATTTACATGCAAAATGCATAACACTAGTGTCACCTTTTTTAATTTTGGAGGAACACATACCACATTCACATGTGCTATTTGACCCATCTATAGACTCACACGTAAAGCTGTCTGCTTTGAGGGGGATTAGAGTAAGAGAAGGCTACACTGTTCAGATCCTTCAGGAATTAAGGTTTGATCATTCACCAGATAGAAAACTCCAGCCATTGGAATGGGTAGTGAAAGAAGCCATAGATGCCAATTAAGGCCTGTGACCAACTACAAAAGGAATATAATAGTTCTGCGCATTTCCTTATTATATGGATCCATTTATTTATGTGTCAGCAAATTTTCTACTCTCTCCTTTCCATTTTTATTTTATACACAAGTTGTTGAAAGCTAACTTTAAAATTTAGACTTTAGGCAACAGATATTCAGTGGGACTGTGGCTGATTTCAAAAATTAATGTAGTTAGTACTAGATACGATGAGTCTTGGGGTTGTGTATCTGCTTATTTTGATAAAAGGTAAAAACTTGTTCACCTGCAAGGATAGCTCTATCTCACATGGTAGCCAATGGGTCATCACAGAAGAAACAGAAAATATCTTAAACTGAATTAAAAATAAAAACACAACATATCAAAATTTGTGAGATGCTACTTAAGCAGAGCTTAAAGAGAACTTTGAGGCTTTTAACAGCTGTTTTAGAAAAGAATAAAGGTCTTAAAACAATAACTTAAGCTTCTCCCTTAAGAAAGTAGGGAAAAAAGAGCAAACTATACCCAAAGCAAGTAAAAGTAAAGATATAATAAGGATTAGAGTGGAAATTGATGAAACAGAAAACAAGTAAAATGAATGGGAAAAAAAGTTAATTCTTTGAATAAAAAAATCAACAAAACTGACAAACCTTTAGCTACATTGATCAAGAAAAAAAGAAGACACAAATTACCAAAATCAGAAATGAAACAGGAGCCATAATTACCCACTCCACAGAATGTAAGGAGGATGTTAAGGAAAAACTGAATGACTTTATGCCAACAAACTACACAATTTTGATAATGGAAAAACAAATTACCAAAACCTACTCGAGAAGAAATAGAAAACTGAAAGAGATCTACAGCAAGTAAAGAAACTGAATTTGTAATTTAAATTTTTCTCATAAAGAAAAAATCCAGGAACAGATAAGTTCATAGGCTAATTCTACCAAATATTTAAAGATGAAATAATATTAATCCCTCACAAACTCTTTTAGAAAATATAACAGGGAACACTTCCCAACTCATTCTAAGATGCCCATATTACCACAAGCCCAAAGCCAAAGACACAAAAAAATTACCCACCAATATCCCTCATGAACATAGACACAAATATCCTAAATAAAATATTACTAAACCAAACCCAGTATCATATGAAAAGGATTATATACCATCACCAAGTGGGATTTATCCCAGGATGCAGTTAGTATAACATTTAAAAAAATCAATTAATAGAACAAATTACACGAATAGAATAAAGAAAGAAAACCATAGTCATCTAAAAAGATGCATAATAGCATCTGACAAAATCCAACATTTATTCATGAAAGAACCTTTCACAGTCTAGGAGCAGGAGAGTTCTTCAACCTGATAAAGAACATTTATGAGAAACTTAAGCTAACATCAGACCTGTTGGTAAGAGATTAAATGCTTTCCCTCTAAGATCAGGAACAAGTCAAGAATGTCCACTTTCCCCACCTCTGCTCAGCAACGTACTGGAGGCTCTAGGCACAGAAAAAGAAAAAAATAAATAAAAGCATTCAGATCAAAAAACTCTGCACTGTCTATATGCACAGTTGACATGATGGTGTATGTAAAAATTCTAAGAAATTCACAAAAAATCTGCTTGAAGTAATAAAGTTACAGGATATAAGATCAACATATAAAAATCAACTGTATTTTTATACACTGGCAACAAGCAATCCAAAAATGAAATTTGAAAAACTTTTCACAATAACATGAAAATGAAACACTTTGAAATAAAGTTAACACAGGAAGAGCAAGACTTGTACACTGAAAATTACAAAACTGAGAGAAATTAAATATCCAAACAAATGGAAAGACATTCTGTATTCATATTAAGATAGCAATTCTCCCCCAAACTGATCTAGAATTAATGACAATTCCATTAAAATCCATCATAGCAGTCTTTTTCGGGAAAAAAATGACAAATTGATACCAAATTTTATATGGAAATGTAAGGCACCCAGAATAGCCAAACAATTTCAAAAGGAACTAAAACATTGGAAGATTGAGACTACCCAATATCAAAATTTACTGTAAAGCCATCATAATAAAGAGGGTATGGTACGGGTCATAGACTAAGCACCCCATCACTGAAACAGAAATGAGAGTCTAGAGATGATTTATCATCAACTCATTTTCTGCAAAAGTGTCAAGACAATTAAATGGGGAAAGGCCAGTTCTTTCAACAAATATCGAGCTGGGATAACTGGATAGCCACATATAAAAAGATGAATTTGAATCCATATCTGAAACAACACAGAAAAGTTAATGGAAACTGATCACAAATCTAAAGTATTGGTCCAAAAAAAGAAAAAAAATTAATAAACAGACTTCCTCAAAGTTAAAAACTTCTGTATTTCAAAAGATATCATGAAAAAAAATGACAAGACAAGTAATAGAGAAATTATTTGGTGAACACATTATTTGATAATGGGCTTGTATCCAGAGTACACAAAAAATGCTTATAATCCAGTAAGACAGAAAACTGAAAATGTGTTACAGAAACCTAACTCAAAATTGAAGTCAGAAAGCCATGAAAAGAAGGCTCTTGTGCATGTACCACTTCTCATAACTTGCACAGTCCAGCAGGAAGAAGGAAGGTTTCCTCTCCACCCAGCAACAGTAAGCTGCCCTCCCCTGCCACCACTGAGAGGCCACCTTTTCAGTCACCTGCAGCCAAAGAAAAGCCACCAGCACTCTGAACTGTCATTTTCTTCCAGTGAGCTTTTGTTCAGAACAACCCCTTCCAACTTTCCTCTACAAAAGGACACACTCCTCCTTCAGTCTTGGGACTTACCTATGCTTTGCCATAGTTTGCTTGTCCTCAATTGGAATTCCTCTGCAATTCCTGAACAAAGTCAATTTTACTGGATGAATAACTTACCTTCTCTTTTAGAAGGTTGACACAATCAAAAACTGGACAAAAGATTTCATTAGATATTTCAAAAATGACATGGGAATTGCTAATAATGAAAATATGTTCAACATCATTAGCTACTAGAGAACTGCAAATCAAACCACAATGAGACACCTCACACCTACTAAGATGGCTCTAAAAAAAGACATAACAAGTGAAGATATGGAAAAATTGGAACTGTCACACATTGCTTGTGAGAATATAAAATAGTACAGCCACACTGGAAAATAGTTCAGCAGTTTCTTAAAAATTAAACGCAAGCTTACTATACAACCCATCAATTCCACTCATGTGTATCTATACAGGAAAAATGAAAACATGTCCAAAGACTTGCACACAAATGCTCACAGCAGCATTATTCATAATAGCCAAAAATTAGAACCAACTTAAGAGTCCATCAACCAATGATGGATAAACAAAATGTGGTATATCGATACAATGGGATACTATTTAGCAATAAACAGGAACAAACTACTGATACATGCTACAACATGGATTTCAAAACATTATGCTAGAAGCAACCTAAGTGTCCATCAGTATATGAATGGATAAAGAAGATGTGGTACATATACATAATGGAATATTATTCAGCCTTAAGAAGAAAACAAATCCTACCATTTGCAACAACGTGTATGGAGCTAGAGGGTATTATGCTCAGTGAAATAAGCCAGGCAGAAAGACAAGTATCAAATGACTTCACTCATCTGTGGAGTATAAGAAGAAAGAAAAAACTGAAGGAACAAAACAGCAGCAGACTCACAGAACCCAAGAATGGACTAACAGTTACTAAAGGGAAAGGGATTGGGGAGGATGGGTGGGAAGGGAGGGATAAGGGGGAAAAGGGGCATTACAATTAGCACCATAATGTAGGGGTTGGGGCATGGGGAAGACAGTATAGCACAGAGAAGACAAGTAGTGATTCTACAGCACCTTACTATGCTGATGGACAGTGACTGTGAAGGGGTATGTGGGGGGGACCTGATAATGGGGGAAATCTAGTAACCACAATGTTGTTCATGTAAGTGTATATTAATGATGCTAAAAAAAAAACCACTATGCTAAGTGAAAGAAGGCTGACATAGATAACACTTACTTTAATGAATGCATTCATATGAAACATCCAGAAGAAGCTAATCTATAGGAACAGAAAGCAAACCAATGGTTGCCTGAGTCTGAAAGCCAGAGCCAGGATTGACTATGAACTTGCATATGCAAACTTGTTACAAGTGATACAAATGTTCTAAAACTGAATCTTGGTGATCACTACACAATTCCAAAAATCTACTGAAAAAAAAAAAAGCACTTAATTCTTTAGAAAACATACTATATAGTTGCAAAAAAGGTGATTTTCATATGAACTCAACCTTCTTAAAATTATAGAAAGGTATTAGGGAGATTATATATGTTCCTATACTACAGTTCTTAACAGGGAAACGATTTCTATATCTAGCAGAGTTTATAATGATCCTAAGAAAATGGACCAGCTAATTTTGCAAGGTCTCTTAAAAACTAAGTCCAAAAAAAAAGGTTTGATATTTAGTATAAAAATGCTCAAGATTTACATTGTTATCTTAAACCTTTTGATGGATTTTTATGTTTCTCCTTCCCTATTACTCAATGAACTTGTCCTGTGGGTATTCTTTCTTATCAAAAGTCATTTAGGATCCAGAAACAAGATAGAAAATATACACACCCCAGCCTAAAACTTTATAACACATTTGGTGCATCTGGAGCCTCCACCACTACCAACTTGAAACTGCCACAATACATGTAAGATTTCCCTGGCACTCTGCAGCCTCAGTAATCAATCCAACTTTCTACTGCACAAGCCGACCTCCCTGTGGCTGGTTTTCATAAAGACAAAATTTGTATAATTGTTACTGGAACTACCTGCTGGAACATGGAACTGATTTAAAATACCATTTGTTTTAAAACGTACACATAGTTTCATGTACACACATCTTCCACATTCAGCCAATCAATCAAGCTAATGCTTTTTATTAGAGAACAGAACAGAAAATTCCAATACAGAGCTGGCTTTTCTTTTCTGGAGCCTTAGTAAATGTTTTTCGGGAAATCAAGAGGAATATAACTGAATAATGAAAAAAGTGAGTTAAAATGTATAATATACTCAAGTATAATTAGTCCCGTTCTAAAGAAGCAGGATCTAACATTTACTCTGGGGGAAAGAGGCCTCTCACATAATTAGGAAAAAGCAAATCCTTTTTTGGTGCAGTCTTTCTTGTGTAAGTAAAAAGTAACATATATGAGTGTGTATTTCGATGCAACTCTGGCACAGTACATTATATTGAAACATCCATTTAATTTGTTTAATGGATAAAGTCCCAATGAACATGTTTTCTATCTATGCCCATGTAATAAATGACCTGGTATGCATTCGATCATTTGTGACCACCTTTCCTCCCTTCTTGAGGGGAGTAGAGAAAATATTCCAAGCTGCACATCACTGAAGGTAGAGTGACATCCATAAATAGCTTAAGTTGGGTGGCCCCAAAACACCCTGCCCATCAAATGGTAAGTCACATTTAAGATGCACTAAATGGGACACAGACCAGAATGAAACTAGGAGCCTGGGAGCTTTCCAGCAATTTCAGATCACGACAAAGCCCAGGCACCTATAGCTCTTTGCTGGAAAATTCCTGGGCCTCTTCCCTTAAAATTCTGGTCCCGAATTAATCAGGGTTAAAAACCTCCCAATGTTTCGCCCCCTCCAGACCGCCAGCGCATACAACCCGACCACAGAGGGTTCGTGGTTGGAAACGCACCCACACAAAACATACAAAAACGCCAACCGACGACCACCACCCAAGAGAAAAGAAAACCTCCCAGGGCTTTGGACGAGAGTGGGCGTGGCGTTCAGAGTGGAGGGTAGAAGTTTGCCCAGAAGAAGCCTCCTCCCCTCCCCGGGATGGAAGGCCTGCAGCCCGGCGGGTGAGAGCCGCGCCGCAGGGGTGGGGAGAGCCCGCGGCCGGTCGTAGCGGGGACGGGCCACAGGCGGCGAGCTCTACACACGCCGACTGATCCGGAACCAGGAAATTCACCTCTGCTGCCCTCCTTGTACGAAACACAGCTGCCCGGAATTACAGGAACAAAAACGGCCAAAGCCCCGACTTCCAGCTCCCACCACTCTGGGCTATCCGTCGGCGAGACCCCGCCTCCAGCCCCACCCCCGGGCCCGGCCCGCGCCGGACACGCCCCATCCCGCCCCTCAGCCCGCCCTACCCACCTCCACGGCCCCGCCCCCGGGCACACGCTTTGCCCTACCCAGGACCCGGCCTCGCCCCTCAGCCCCCAAAACCTACCCACCGCCCCGGGCCCGTCCCTCCGCTCTGGCCATCCCCACCACTCCGGCCCCGCCCCGAGTACGCCCCCTCATCCCCACCCCTCCCCACTGCTCGGCCACGCCCCCACCCGCCGCCCCCGGGTCCGCACACGACCCCGGCCCTCTCGCCCACCTAGAGGCGCAGCGCGCGGCGGACGTTCTCGCAAGTCTTCCCGCCCTGACCCTACCCGCACGCCCGGCTGACGTGTCGGCCAGACCACCCGGGCAGCGGCCGCCTTCGCGCTCTACGGCCTCTCTTACCGGGTGGTCCGCGCCGAAGCTGCTTCGGCAGTTTGGGCAGTGGCCGAAAGGGAACCGCCGCCCGGGTTCTGCGGCTTGAAAATTTGGCTTCGCCTCGTACTGCCTTTTTATTTTGTTTTGACCTTTTTGGAATTTTCCCGCGGTCGCTCCGCATTGAGGCCGCGCGCGCGCGCGCACGTGCCCGCAGTGCAATCTGGGGCCGAGCGGGAGGCTCAGCGCGCCGCCGCGGCATCGCGGGAAAGCTCCGACCAATCACGGACTCATGGAGGGCGGGGCGGGTCCTCGCGCTGCTCGGCCGGAAGTCGGGCCCGCGGGAATGTGCGGCTGCGTTAGTTTTCCCCGGGCCTGTGCGGGAGTCGTGGTCTCCGGCCGGAAGGACCCGCGAGGAGAAACCTGGGCTTCTTCATTGGGTGGTTGCCCAGTTATCTGAAGACCGTGTTGGAAAGGCAGAGGAGGTAAAATGGAAGTTAGTTTTCTGAAAGAACTAAGTCTTTGTCAGGGCCTAGAATACGATTTTCTAACTGTGGTCACACGAGAAGCGGCATCGCTCCCCAAGTCAGGTCAGCAGTGTATTTAAGCTGTTTGCACGGAAAGCAGCATTTTTTATAAATTGCCATTCATGGGCATAGTGTTAGCTTGTCCAGGCGGGTTTTTTAATTATTCTTGACCTTAGTAATGCCCAAAGGTTTCTCATAGAGGTTTAAAATGGAAAAAATAATAATCTGAGGAACCTAATCTTAAGATTAAAAAAAAGTTTAAGTCAGTGCTTCATAATCTTTAAACCAACTTCATGGGGACTTTAAAAAAAACTACGAGGCGGTGTATGCATGTAATAAAAATATGCAAACACTTCCTAGCCTTCCGTGTTGAAGGAATATCCATTTTACTAAAGAATAAAGTGAATTTGGAGATTGGACAATTTACCAAGATTGTAGTTTGTGTGACAGTTAGTGTGTGCGTTAGTGGTAGCAACAATTTTTTTGTAATTAAAGAGATAAACCCCATCCAGAATTTGAAACTAAATTGGCAGGATCTGCAGCTGTATTTAGGAATCAGGTGTTAAATCCATTCTTAAAATTATTCCCTGCCAGCTGAGAAGGCAGTGCCTGTTTCTCGTGTGGATAGGTGAGTAGGTAAATCCAAAGCAGAACCTGTAGAGAGATACATGCATAAATGACACGTCACAGCAACTTAGTCATAAGAAGAATGGCACTGTGTTTCTTGTGACAACTTAATACTTAACTCTTGCTGTGAATAAAGTGAGAGTTCCTATGGCCAGGATTCTCACCTGGCTGTGGTTGACTAGCTCACTGCACATCTGTGGGCAATACATGGCTGTTGACTCTATAAAAAGAGCTCCGCCCAGTGCTCTGGGAGCAACATGGTGGCAGGGCTGCAAGGCTGCAGGAGAGCAGAGCAGAGGCTGGAGTGGTGACAGCGCCGAGGACCAAGGCCCAGAGGACGACTGTGTGGGACGGCTGTGTGGACAGAGGGGCAGAGAGGCAGAGACCGGCTTGCTGCATACATTCAGCTTGCTCTGAGTGAATGGGATTCTAGTGACTGACCTGCCACCTGGAAATAAAGTTGGGTATAACCCTTTTGCCCCCGAGAACATTTTGCTGTCATTTTCTTTGGTCACACTGAATCCATAGTGAACTTGCCTGGGACTGAAACTAATTGACAAGGCAACTGGCCAAAGTTGGCAGGGTTCCTTGTTGACCAAGGAAAAAGGCTGCCCTTATGGGAGGGGTGCTTCAGCGGGCTGCCCCTGTGAATGGGGAGACAGTGGATCATCCCCCAATGGGTTGTGGTCTGAGGTGGCTTGCCTTCTAGAGGACTGGGCCCCACCCCAGGACTGGAGGCAAGTGGAGGTGATTCCTGAGGCAGTAGGGGTGGCTTGGCTGCTTCTCACAGTCTTAAAAAGGTCTACAGGGGAGACCCAAGGAATGGCGGCACAAGAACGCAAGCTGCAAACTTCAGTAGATTCCCTGAGGAGAGAAATGGCATTGACGCAAGAGGCGGCACAAGAACGCGAGAGCTGCAGACTTCTGTGGATGCCCTGAGGAGGGAAATGGTATTGGTGCGGGAGGAGGTGGCACGAGAATGCGAGCTGCAAACCTCTGTGGATTCCCTGAGGAAGGAAATGGCCTGGATGTGGGAGGAGGCAGCACGAGAGTGCCGGCAGCAAGGTGCCATTGGAGACGAGACGGCAGCGCTACCAGGTGTTCTGAAGGAGGAAGAGGCCATCAAGAAAAAAGACGAGCCCCTGAGGGAAGCACAGGCAGAGGTGGCAGGAGAACATCAGCTGCGAAGCATTCAGCTGAAGGTAAGAGACCTTCGGAAGACTAAGGTAGCATTGCTGTGAGGCACAGTAGAAAAGGTAAAGGTTGTTGCAGAGGAGGCACTTGGGGGAGGGGAGAGAAAGGTGCCATCAGCCCCAGAACTGAAGGAGCTGGAGAAGGATGGAGGGGTGGTGCTGGAGGCACTGGCGCCTCCTGTATTGAAAGCACGCCCAGTGGTTGTTCCTGAGGCAGTAGGGGTGGCTTGGCTGCTTCTCACAGTCTTAAAAAGGTCTACAGGGGAGACCCAAGGAATGGCGGCACAAGAACGCAAGCTGCAAACTTCAGTAGATTCCCTGAGGAGAGAAATGGCATTGACGCAAGAGGCGGCACAAGAACGCGAGAGCTGCAGACTTCTGTGGATGCCCTGAGGAGGGAAATGGTATTGGTGCGGGAGGAGGTGGCACGAGAATGCGAGCTGCAAACCTCTGTGGATTCCCTGAGGAAGGAAATGGCCTGGATGTGGGAGGAGGCAGCACGAGAGTGCCGGCAGCAAGGTGCCATTGGAGACGAGACGGCAGCGCTACCAGGTGTTCTGAAGGAGGAAGAGGCCATCAAGAAAAAAGACGAGCCCCTGAGGGAAGCACAGGCAGAGGTGGCAGGAGAACATCAGCTGCGAAGCATTCAGCTGAAGGTAAGAGACCTTCGGAAGACTAAGGTAGCATTGCTGTGAGGCACAGTAGAAAAGGTAAAGGTTGTAGCAGAGGAGGCACTTGGGGGAGGGGAGAGAAAGGTGCCATCAGCCCCAGAACTGAAGGAGCTGGAGAAGGATGGAGGGGTGGTGCTGGAGGCACTGGCGCCTCCTGTATTGAAAGCACGCCCAGTGGTTGTAAAGAAAATAAAGACACAGCAGCTGAACGTTCCCCAAGGAGAGGAGCAGCCCCCTCCCCGGGTCGTGGAGCACTCTATGGTCCGCCCCTATACTCAGGCTGAGCTGGTGGATTTGGGCTTCCGGTTTAGGCGGAAACCCTCGGAGTCAATATCAGCTTCACTCCTACGTCTGTGGGACTTAGGGGTGGATGGGATTGTTCTACTGGAATCAGAGATGGGAAAGCTGTCTTCCCTGACAGTGCAGCCTGCCTTGAGGCAGCGATGACAAAATGCACATCAGACCCCAGGGAGTCACTCCCTCCTTGATTGGCTTATGGCTACACTTCGTGCTGTGTGGCCCAGTCTGGGTGATCTGCCATCCTCCCCTGTTATATGACAGACATATGCTGAGCTCCAAAAGGTGCTGCCAGAGCTAGGCATAAGAAATGCCATCTATAGTTAAGAGAATTATAACCCAGATGAAGAGATTTTCACTACTGGGATGAGAAATATTGTACTTCAAACAGCTCCTACATCCCTCTTTGGGTCTCTAGTGGCCATTCTTTCCCCTCACTTAGGGCATCCCATAAGTAAGGTGACACAGTAGCTGAAGCAATGAGAACCGGGAAAGAAATAAGACCTGTTACTCACAGAAGGAATTTGAGGGGCTCTGTGAGGGTTACGAGGACTCAAATGTGGGTTGATTTGATGTGGGCAGGAGTAGATGGAAGGAAATTAGACGGGAAGCCAAATAGGATCTTACTGGAGCTATGGCAACAACTGAAACCAGAGCAGCAGTTCCAGCCATTAAGATGAAAGAGGGAGAGGTCAGAGACAGAGCCACGAGTCCGGCCTGTATGTCTGCAAAACTTTTTGCTGGAGAGGCTAGAGAACAATCTTCGAGCTTCCTTGCACAAGGACCATTGCAGAGGACTAAGGGCACATAGATTGAGAGGAGAGAATCCTGGAGGGGTGGAGTGTGGATAAAATGAGAGTTCCTGTGGCCAGGATTCTCACCTGGCCATGGTTGACTAGCTCACTGCACATCTGTGGGCAATACATGGCTGTTGACTCTATAAAAGGTGCTCTGCCCAGTGCTCTGGGTGTGACATGGTGGCAGGGCTGCAAGGCTGCAGGAGAGCAGAGCAGAGGCTGGAGTGGTGGCAGCACCGAGGACAGAGGCCCAGAGGCAGAGACCGGCTTGCTGCACACAGACCCGCTCTGAGTGAATGGGATTCTAATGACTGATGTGCCACCTGGAAATAAAGTTTGGTATAACCCTTTCACCCCCCAAGAACGTTTTGCTGTCATTTTCTTTGTTCACACTAAATCCATAGTGAACTTGCCTGGGGCTGAAACCCATTGGCAAGACACTTGCATTAACCAACAAGTAAGCAATTATTTATTTAAAGGAAATACCTGTTTTGGTACTCAGGTCATTTTACATGTTTGCTGAAAAATCACTTCTAGTCTTTGTCATGTTAATAATCAAGGTTTTGCCATATTGCAGTTCCATTTCTAATTCAGGGATTAGTGAAATGCTGCTGGGCATATTCAACTTTATATAAAAGGACAGCATATTCAGGCCTAATCTAGACCTAAAAAAATGGCATGTGTAGGTGGGAATTATTTCATCCTTGGAAGTAATTAGAATTCGTTCTAATAGAACCTATCCGTTAGGATCTTTACATTCTAGAGGGAAAACAGCACAACTGTGTTCTGTTAAGTTAGCCTGCCATTATCAACTCTTCCTTCAAAATTCAGCAAACAAATAGAATAACTGTCTCAGATTCTAGCCATAGTCATAGGACTCTTGTATCCAGAATTGTCCAGACACACACTGTGGGGAAAATGGGTACTCCATGACCAGAATCCTCATCTGATCCTAATCTAATCTACCCATTACATACGTGCAATGATGTAATACTTAGTCCACTGTGCAGGTGCCTACTTGTATGCCTGTTGGCAATAAGACATTACTGCTAGTATTGCTATAAAAAGAACTCCCTTGGTGCTAAGAATAGAGTATAGAGAAGAGCAGGAGAGGGGTGCAGAGGCTGGAGGCAAGGGTGGAGCCTGGGGCAGAGACAGAGGCAGATGGGATTCTCACTCACAGCCTACCACTTTGAGAAGAAAGCTTAGCATTAGCTCCTTTTTACCCCCCAATGTTCCATTGTCATTATTTGGGTTCATCAGATCCAGAGTGAACCTGCCCAGGGCTAAACCCCTCAGGCAAGACACCCACCTGGTTTCCACCTGTTATTTGGCACCCCAACACTTAACACACTCTCATCCATGTCTTTGGA